ATTCTTGATAGAGAGGGTGATCATCCACACCCAAATTACACTCCTTCCGCACCGTGGGAAGAGCCTACTTTCAAAATAGTAATAGAAAGTCTCCCAATGAAAAAGGCGGCCTATGATCCGACAATCCTAAGGCGCATAATAGAAGAGCAAATGTATAGCATAGCAGTAGCAGGAGCCACCCACATCTTCACAGACGGATCGGTGGACACAGAATATGAGAGTGCTGGCGCTGCTCTTTGCACGGCCAGCATACAGGCATATTGGAGACTGGGAGGACTAGTATCATCAACCCAAACTGAGCTGTTTGCCATACAACAGGCATTCGTATATGTGATTGCACAAAACACTCAAAATGTAATCATACACACAGACTCAAAAGCTGCACTTCAAATACTAGGACAAAAACAGTGGAAAGATAGTGTGGAAATAATTACCACCATTTTGTATCTTGGAGCAGTCGCTAAATGCAAAGGACTCAACATAACCTTAAATTGGATCCCATCCCATATTGGAATCTGTTACGGACCCGAGTTCAGCGTCTAGCACGGAGCAGTGACGACAACGCCATCTGTGAGTCAGCTCCCGAAAACCCCTCCAAATGGACGACGCCATCTAGTGAGGACGGGATATACCGGCCACAGGTGCTAGATTCTCGTCTTAACCAGCTCGTAACGTAGCCGCTGCTGACCTCTGGTGAGGTGGCGCTTAGACAGCAACGCCATCTATGGAGTGGATAGGTGGACGTTTGTGTCTAAGCCTGTAAGTGAGGTGCCCTAGAGTGTCCCTAGTACTAATTGGGACTGCTGTATTGGACGATGGGGGATTTTGGTCACCACTTGGTCCGGGAGACATCTCCCGTCACGCAGGGTGCAGTTGCGCCTCCACAGATCTCCAGTATCATCTTTTGATACTGGTAATGGCTCGAAAGGGACACCACTTACGGGCTATTCATGCCCGTGCCACCTCTTGGGTGGCTTAATCTTCATCAATCAATCTGGACGATGGGGCAGTCTACCCAAGGCAGCCAAAGTCTCTCCACGTGTTTGCTGCAGAAGCTATGAGTCACCCCCGGACGAACACTGTTGAGTGTGTTAGCCTGCCTGTGACGTGGCAGTACCAGGAATTGTCTTATCTGGGGGCTGGCTGGTGGAAGAGACTAGCCACTGTAGTGCTGAGAGAGGAGAGTGATCTGCGGAATCACACGAGGCTCCTGCCTTGGGCTCGCAACCCTAGTATCGGTCATGGAGTGACCTACACAGCGGAGCTGATCGGAACCTGCCAACTACAGGCTGGATTGGTGGTTGAAGGCCTCCACGACGGTGCACCCAGTGGGACTGTGATTTGGCTGGCCTGTGGCCAGGGGTAGATTCGCCGAGAGAATCAGAGGATTCATCGTGGGCCACGAAGAAGAGAACCAGGGCTACTCATCTTGAGCACCGTGGAGCATCCTGTGTCTTCAGAGGAAGACTAATTTGTATATAATAACTGTAGTTATAGCAACCCCGCGTGTGACTGTGATATATTTATGGTGGTGGTAGCAATAGATATACAAAAGCAGTGCATTTGTATCCCTTCCCCTTTAATTTAATTTGCGTTACGGAACGCAAGGGCACCATTTCCATTAAATGAAAAAGCTGATGAAGTTGCTAAATTGGCAACTCGTCATCCAGTGATACATAAAACAATTCAACCCAGCCTAGAGAACATAAAAAACATCATCACCAAAAAACTCTCACATCTCAACAAAGCCTACCTACACCAGAGAATAGCTGAAGGTTCGCCGTCTGCAACATGGTATCTTCAGGCAACCAAATTAGAAAGGTTAAATATCCCAAAAGGAATCCACAGGGAAATAGCAGTTAGGTTATATAGACTACGTCTAGGTTACAGATGCAACTGGGAGATTGGTGAACCCCGACAGAGAGAGTGCATCTTCTGCCAAATTGTCACAGAAAAGCCATTACTTCACTATCTTCTGGAATGTGAAGCAACCAATAACCTTAGAAGAGCTTTAAGAGTTCCTGAATCATGCAGTGGCCACCATGAAGCCATCAACACAGCCACTCTCCTGGTCAACAAAGGTGTCCAGCAGCTGGACACCCTCATAAAGACTGTGAAGCAGTATCCTCCCCCGCGATAACAGCTTGATGGTTAAATGCAACCTCAGAATACTGAGAAAAAAAAATTGTACCACTTACGGGTTATTCATGCCCGTGCCACCTCTTGGGTGGCTTAATCTTCATCATCATCATACGGAAGGTCACAGCACCGCTCCTGTGGCAGGTGAGTCCACTATGGGATCACCATAGCCTGTGCTACTTGCCCCGCTCCTGTGCCAGGTAAGTTACGGGCTCACCATAGCCCGTGCTACTTGCCCCGCTCCTGTGCCAGGTAAGTTATGGGCTCACCATAGCCCGTGCTACTTGCCCCGCTCCTGTGCCAGGTAAGTTACGGGCTCACCATAGCCCGTGCTACTTGGAACTTGTTCCGAGTAGCTTAATCTATAACAACATACGGAAGGTCAAACGTCTTAAGGTCAGAGTTACTCCACTTAACGGTCATGCTATCGGGAGAAGCAATATTTTAAAGATCCTGAAGGACGTTACTGGCCTCGAACCCGCTGACATTAGTCGGGAAGGTGAAGATATCGTGCTCTTCTTTTCATGTGAAGAGGAGCTAGAAAAACTCCTGCCTAACGATGCCATTCTTCGTAAAGAGCACAACCTACATCCTCACTTCCCACCTCAGTTCCTGGCCGAAGAACTTTTTTATCAGCAGGACCAGCCAGTGGATCGCTGAGCGACCTCAACATCATATCAAAGACAATATCGAGGACGAAAATCCAAACCTGGCTGTATTCAAACTACAGTTCTGCAACACCGATAAAACATCAATGAAGATTACGTTCACCACCATAGCTGCGGCCACCCAGGCTGTCACACAAGGATTCTACTGCTTCGGCTTAAAAATTCCACCCCACCAAATAAAAAAAGAAACGATACCATGAGATCCAGCAGTGCCTTAAGTGCTACGAGCTCTCCCACCCGACCAACAAGTGTCAGCACCCTGTCCAGAAGTGCAGCATGTGCGCACTGGACCATCACTACTCCATATGCAAGGCAACAGTCCATTGTTGTTTGCTCTGTGATGGCAATCACCCTGCAATTTCCTACCGCTGCCCTCGCAGACAGGAAAGCATCAAGGCCCAGATTGAAACAACCCTTCTATCTCCTCGACCAGAGCCCCAAGCGTTCAACCCACCACCTTAGCTCTCACTAATCGACGAGAAGACTTTCCAGTCTTACCATCATGTGGCTCCTCCCAGCAGGCGACACAGCCTTCTCATTGGGGACCCAAGGTCCCACAGGCTCCTTCACAGCCCCCTTCATCACGTGAAGGTATTATTCCTGGTCTTATTAGACTAGCGGAAAGGCTAGCAGGACCAGACAACCAGCGCTTTGTCAGTGAACTAAACGATACAGTGAATACATAGACAATGGCCTGGCCCCCATCATAGCCACTAGCGTAAATCTCACTGCCTCCTCTACCACTCCGGAGACTACCACCAGGACGACCATGCTATCAACTTCAGCACCGACTCCAGAACCGCCCATGACCCGGGCGACACAAACAGAGGTAATTCCTTCTCCAGCTCCCAACACTCCTACCATCACTATCTCAGCAGCCGCGCTAGCAGACATACTGTCTACAAACGATAACAGCACCACCAGCGCTCCTGAAATAGCTACAACCACCAATCAACGACACCTAAGCCTACCTAAGGCTGCGAGGCGAAAGACAAAAACGCCCACTACGGAGGTTACGGACTCCTCAGACGAGGAAATCATAGTAAGAGCTCCACCGCCGCATCACAAATACGACACCTACACATTTCAAGACTTCCTCATGGAGGCCACGTCACCAAACTCCAACGACAGCACTGCCCAGCCAAAGCCGCAGGCAAAGAAAAAACGGAAAACCTAGAGGTCCACACTAATCCCACCAGCTCCATAACTGGTATAGCCAGCCCTCCAGGCTGAAAACCATCATGAAGACCCCCATCCATCGCCACATTTCTAGTATCAGCCACTGATACAGATAATGGCTCCAAAGAGCCTCCACTTACGGGCCCACAATAACCCGTGCTACTGGAACATATTGTTCTGAGTAGCGAATCTTAAACAACAACAACAGCAAAAGTACGGAAGGTAGCTTTTACGGGCTCATCATAGCCCGTACTATATGGACATTTCGTTCTGAGTAGCTAAATCTAAAACAACAAACAACTGCACGGAAGATAAGGTGTAAAATAGGGTGTAATAATAGGAATAAGAAGGGGAACGTGAGGGAAACAAGAGAAAGAAAAAAAATGGAGGGAGTCTTGTTTTAGGTCACGTTTGTTAGAAAGTTTAGAACATTTAAGTATGTACTGTGAAAGGGAAGAGTCAACAGCAACAAAGCCAGGACTAAGGTTAATGTTGAGTAGGTTGTGTATCAGAGCAGATTAGACAAGACGGCGTCTGTGTAGAGTAGAGGCAGGAAAGATTATTTTAGGGGAAGACCAATCAATAGGATGATCAGAATCCCTAACAAGACAGGAGAGAGCAGCGGGAGAGGGAGAGGAAGAAGGCCCTCAGTCGCCTTCTGACTAAGGAAAGAGAGAACGTCATCAAGGGGAAAATTAATAATTAGAGTCAACATCAGGACAAAACATCTTTAGGAAGGGCTACATGCGCAGTCTTTCTATGAAGTCCCGAGAGTGACGAAGGTGGGCTGGAGAAAAAGGGCCAAGGTAAGGCGTTAGAGTTTGACTATGAGATTGGGTGGTTATAAATAGGACCATATATGGGCCAATAGGCCTTTTGCAGTTACCTTTATTCTTATGTTCTTATGCCTTCTCCAGGAACGAAAACAATGTTTCATTGTGATGAATGTTCTAACTAAAATAAAAATATCTTAAAGGTAAAATAATAATATTGAGGGGCAGTAATAATGCACGGTAATACAGGAGTATATTTATTGAACAAGCTGACGCATATGAGCTCGGATAATGCCCCCAAACACAGGTGTTCACTGTAGCAACTCCTGTAAGAATTAGTTCAGATGAACACCGACAAGCAATACACAACATTAAATACATGAGTATCATCATGTTGAACACAATTTATATTAATAATAGCTACATTAAAGCAAGAAGCCTTCTCATATTTACATCCAATATCTTCTCTACACGAGAGTTACCAGATAATCCTCGCTCGGTGATCCTTGGTTCCAGGAGCATGAGTAATGACGAAGGCATAACTATCCAGATGCGAGCACCTTAGATAGTTACAGTGACGAAGACAGTGTCTAATGACGATGGTTACAGTGACGAAGGCAGTGTGTAATGACGATGGTTACAGTGACAATACAGTGTGTAATGACGATGGTTACAGTGACGAAGACAGTGTGTAATGACGATGGTTACAGTGACAAATACAGTGTGTAATGACGATGGTTACAGTGACGAAGACAGTGTGTAATGACGATGGTTACAGTGACAAATACAGTGTGTAATGACGATGGTTACAGTGACAAAGACAGTGTGTAATGACGATGGTTACAGTGACGAAGACAGTGTTTAGTAGAGATCTGGCTTCCGGCACCCGAGCAACGCCGGGTGCCAGAGAATGTTTTGCTGATCTGCGATGTAATCAACAAACGAATTTTCTCCGCTTGGCTGTGAGGAGTAGGGCACATAGACCCGAGGGAGACAATGCTATATACGGCATCTTTTGTGCTGGGATACATCGCAGGAGAAAACTGTAGCACTCTATTTAACTTACTAATATTAGGGATATTAGATCGAGCAGGAAATTAGTGTTGATATTATCGGCCAGGGTCAGGAAGTCAATGTAGGGGTTATGAGCGAATAACAGGGATATGACAATGGAAGAGGATGCGGCAGTGTCAACTAGGGGGAGGGGATAATGACAGGGAATGTGACAATGACAGGAGATGTGACAATGATCGAGGACGTGACACTGTGAAGGGCTTATGACAATACAAATGTATCAGAATTTACTCATCATGATAATCAATTTCAATGTAGATAAACAGAGATTCAGAGCACTGATCCTTTCGAAGGGATAAATAAGAGATAATCGTTAGATAAAATTTGGCTCGCGGCCTTACAGAGGATTTAGAATAGATCTGTATTCGTTTGTAGAGCTCTAGACACCTGCTAGAATGATGTAGTTACGCCGCTGTCGAACAGTCCACTGCAGCTGCTGATATATCATAGCTTACATACGTGTTGATCGTAGGGACAACAGTGAGCTCATCCTCTTCTACTGGTTAGGGACATCTAGTGAATAGACTGTGGCCTTGGACTGCTCCGCGTAGTTTAGGACAGGGGCGAAGTCCTCCGGCCTGTATTCCTTGAAGGTGGGTCTCACCTGAACGTCGTGGACAGCAGCCACCGGCAACGCCCCGAGGCGAGTGGCCAGCTCCGACACCCCACCTGCCTCTTCCGCTGTCTTGGGATTCACCAGGAACCCTAGTATTCCTGACGGGGACTTGCCTGTGGAAAAAAGATCACCCTCTGCGACGGCCTGCTTTAGGAGGGGCGACAAAGAACCTTTCTCGTAAATTGCTCTGGAATAGTCTTCTTCGGACCCGACCTCAACACCCTCGGACTCCGCCTGCACTTCAGGAAGCCGCGCCTCCAGCTGGGAACTCACTCCTGACAGTGCTCCGGGCTGGACACACAACACAACAGTTAGGATTTATGTATTATAAAGGTCATTATGGTAAAACAATTTTAATTAATAAAAAACGCTTAAAATTACCATAAGTAAGAATAACATCAATATTAGAGATGACTTTATTTCCTAAATTGACAGAACACTGTCAATATTTCCCTTCGGGAAAAATCAAGTATATACAAAAATTGCAGCTGATATTAAATTTTTTATTCCAGACCATGATTAAGCCACTTTCTAGATTTGACAACATAATGATAAGTAAATGTTATTTATTTTATTTTAAAGGTTTCTACTAAAGAAATTAGGAACAAAAAGCTATAATTTGGATTGCAGTTGTTTGACCAACACTACAGCAAGTTCTCATTATCCACAATGCATGGAGAATAGTTAGATCTCTGTTGTTCACAGGTGCTTCTATACAGTTTCCCTAACTCGTATATCCTGCAAGGTGATGGAGAAGATCGTGAGGAAGTCTTGTAGAGCACCTGGAGGGAAATAGCTTTGTAACACTCCACCAGCATGGGTTCAGAGATGGAAAATCGTGCCTCACAGGTTTAACAGAATTAATTCTATTACCAAGCAACACAAATTAGGCAAGAAAGAGAAAGGTGGGCAAACTGCATTTCCTTGAACTGTCAGAAAACCTGTGACTCAGTACCTCACAAAGGCTGTTACAAACGTTGAAGCAACAGGCAGGAGTAGAAGGTAAGATGCTGCAGTGGATATGGGAGTATCTAAGCAACAGGAAACAACGAATAACTGTGAGAGGGAGACATCAGAGTGGCGACATGTCACCAGCTGAGTCATCAGCGAGGTTTTACAGGGCTCTGTACTTGGACCCATCCTGTTTTTAGTATATGTAAATGACCTTCCAGAGGGTATAGACTCATTCATCTCAATGTTTGCTGATGATGCAAAATGTTATGAGAAGAATCAAGACAGATGAAGCTAGACAGAGACTACAGGATGACCTGGACAAACTGGTGGAATGGTCTAGAAAATGGCTACTAAAGTTCAACTTAGAAAAGTGTAAAGTAATGAAAATAGGCGAAGGGAGCAGAAGGCTGAACACAATGTACCATCTGGGAGGTGATATCCTGCAAGAGTCAAATAGAGAGAGGGATCTGAGGTTTGATATCACACCGAACCTGTCCCCAGAGGCCCGCATCAAAAGGATATTATCAGCGGCATATATGCTAGACTGGCCAACATAAAAACTGCCTTTAGCAACTTGTGTAAGGAATCGTTCAGGGCCATGAATACCACTTATGTGAGACCAATCCTGGAGTATGCAGCTCCAGCCTGGAATCCATACCTAATTAAACACAAGACAAAGTTAGAGAAGATTCAGAGGTATGCCACCAGACTAGTCCCGGAACTGAGAGGTATGAGTTACGAGGAAAGGCTATGCGAGCTGAACCTCACTTCCCTGGGAAACAGAAGAGTAAGGGGAAAGATGATAACCACCTACAAAATTCTCAAGGGAATTGACAGGGTGGACAAAGACAAAATCTTTAGCACGGGTGGAACAAAAGCAAGGGGACACAGGTGGAAACTTAGTACCCAGATGAGCCACAGAGATATTATAAAGAATTTTTTCAGAGTCAGAGTAGTTAGGAAATGGAATGCATTAAGCAGTGATGTGGAGGCAGACTCCATACACAGTTTCAAATGCAGATTTGATGGAGCCCAGTAGGCTCAGGAATCTGTACACCAATTGACTGACAGTTGAGAGACGGGACTAAAAAGCCAGGGGCCAGATTCATAAAGCAGTTACGTATGTACTTACGAGCCTGTACATCTTTTCTCAATCTTTGGCGGCTTTGTTTACAATTATTAAACAGTTAATGAACTACGGAGCACCAGGAGGCTGTTAATAACAATAACAACAGTTGATTGGGAAGTTTTCATGCTTGTAAACTGTTTAATAAATGTAACCAAAGCCATCAAAGATTGAGGAAAGATGTACACATTCGCAAGTACTTGCGTAACTGCTTAGTGAATCTGGCTGCAGAAGTCAACCCCCGCAAGCACAACTAGGTGAGCACAGTGCTATATTGCCATTCTGTCATCTATATAAAGCTATATAACCATCTTCCCTTTTATATGGTGCCAAATACCCATCCTGCCTCTTATATGGTGTTATATATATATCCATCCATCCTTCTATATGGTGTTATATAGCCATCCTGCCTTCAATAAGGTGCTATATAACCATCCTTCCTTCTATATGGCGCTATATAGCCATCCTGCCTTCTGTATGGTGTTATATAATCATCTTGCCATCTATATGTTACTATAGCCATCCTGCTGTCTATGTGGTGCTATATAGCCATCCTGGCTTCTACATGGTGTTATATAGCCATCCTGCCTTCTATATGGTGCTATATATAGCCACCCTAACTTATATATATGGTGTTATATATAGTCATCCTGCCTTCAATATTGTGCTATATTCATCCTGGCATCTATATTATGCTACATAGGTATTTTGGCTTCTATATGATGCTATATAGCCATCCTGCCGTCGGGCATCCTTCATGCCCGAAACGCTTTGCGTAATAGTGGCTTTAGGCATTGTATGTACTAGCTCTACCTATAAGTCAACCAATCCTTGTAAAAATTTATTATATGTATGTACCTTACCTAAATAAAATTGTATTGTATTGTATTGTATATGGTGCTATATACCCATCCAGACGTCTATATGGTGCTATGTAGCCATCCTGACTCTTTATGATGTTATATAGCCATCCTGGCTTCTACATGATGTTATAAGGCCATCCTGCCCTCAATATGGTGTTATAGTAGTCCCCGTGGATGGCTATATATAGTCCTATATAGGCATCCTGTCTTCTATATAGTGTTATATAACCATTCTGCCTTCTATATGGTGCTAAATAATCTTTCTGCCTACTATATGGTGCTCAACCCGTTCTCGCACTTACTTATAGTCAATATCTTGCTTATGAATAAGTGCATATGTGACATACTAATTTATTGTGAATATTTGAGCTTACCTTGAAAAGCTGAATAGAAAACTACAACCTAGCCTAACCTTCTTAGTATGTTAAGATATTACAATTAGTATTGAACCTATACCTATATTGATATTACAGTTTTATAAAAATAATAAAACAAAACTTAAATATTTAAACAAATTGTAAAGTAACTCAGGATATTGCCAAATTCTGTATAAAATCTCTATTGTTTAATAAAACTGAGATAAAAAGTTAGTGTCTTGAAAAAAAAATATGGCTTGGAATATGTCACATATGTACTTATTTTTAAACGAAATAGTAACTATAAGCAATAAGTCATATATATGTGCTGTCTTCTGTGAGAGCAGGTTGCAACGCTATATAGCCATCCTGGCCTCTATATGGGGCTATAATACCACCCTGCCTTCTATATAGTGCTATATAACCATCCTGCCTTCTATATGGTGCTATATGTTAACCATCCTGCCTTCTATATTGTGCTATATGTTAGTCATCCTGCCTTCTATATGGTGCTATATAACCATCCTGCCTTCTATATGGTGCTATATGTTAACCATCCTGCCTTCTATATTGTGCTATATGTTAGCCATCCTGCCTTCTATATGGTGCTATATGTTAGTGATCCTGCGTTCTATATGGAGCTATATGTTAGTGATCCTGGCTTCTATAAGGTCCAATATAGCCATCCTGACCTCTGTATGGTGATATTTAACCATTCCGTCTTCTATATGGTGCTATATATTAGCTATTCTGGTTTTTATATAGTGATATATAGAAATCCTGCTTTCTATAAGGTGCTATAAAGCCATCCTGCTTTCTATGTGGTGCTATATAGCCATCCTGGCTTTTATATGGTGCTATACAGCCATCCTAACTTCAATATAGTGCTATATAATAGCATTCCAGGCTTCTATATGGTACTAGATAATCATTTTGCCTTTTATATGGTGTTATATCGCCTTCTTGCCTTCTTGAT